CATGTTTTCTTTTAGTATTGGGTATATTTAATATAATTATTTTAAAGTCTTTGTCTAGTAAGGCAGATATGTGTGTTTCTTCTAGGATAGTTTCTGGAGATTAATTTTGTTCCCTGAATGGTCATATTTTTTTCTTTGTATCTTTTTTTTTTGCGGGGAGGGATGTGTGTGCAGGGTTTCGCTGTTATCCAGGCGATACAGTGATGTGATCCTGGTTCACTGCAACCTCTGATCCCCTGGCTCAGGTGATCCTCCCACCTCAGACTCCCAAGCAGCTGGGACCACAGGTGTGCACTACCACACCCAGCGATTTTAAAAATATTTTTAGTAGAGATGGGGTCTTACCACGTTGCCCTGGCCAGTCTTGAACTGAGCTCAGGCAATCTACTCACCTTGGCCTCCCAAACTGCTGGGATTACAGGTATGAGACACTGCACCTGGCTTTTTTTTTTTTTTTTTTTTTTAAATAAATGGGATTTTGCTGTTGTCCAAACAGGACTTGAACTGTTGGGCTTAAGTAATCCCCCTGCCTCAGCTTCCCAAGTAAGCCAGGATTACAGGTGTGTGCTACCATGCCTGGCTTCTTTGTATCTTTTGTTGAAAATTGGGAATGTGAAAAAATAGCCACCTCTCCCTATTTCTAGTGTTCTTATTTCTCCGCAGGCTCAGCAGTATCTGTTGTTTCTTTTCTTGACTTTTTAATAATTATTCTCATGGCATGAGATGCTATCTTACTGTGTTTTTGATTTGCACTTCTCTAATGATCCGTGATGTTCAAGGTCTGGCTATGTTGCTCAAGCTGGTCTTGAACTCCTGGGGTCATGTGATCTTCCCACTTCAGCCTCTCAACGTGCTGAAATTACAAGCCTGAGTCACTGCCCCCTGTCTAGATCAGGCATGAATAAAAAAACAGGGAAATCAGAAAAATGTGTTTAAGTCAGGGGTGTCCAATCTTTTGGCTTCCCTGGGCCATACTTGAAGAAGAACTGTGTTGGGTCACATATAAAATATATTAACATTAATGATAGATGGTGACCTAAAAGAAAACACTAAGAAACCTCATAATATGTTAACACAGATTATGAATTTGTGTTGGGCCACATTCAAAGCTGTCCTGGGCCACATGCATCCTGTGGGCTGTAGGTTGGACAGCTTAGTTTAAGCCATAGGATTAAACATGCAGCACAAAATGAGTATTAAATACATGAAAAAATCTGGCTCAGGCACACAAGAAGAAAAGTGAAATCTATGGTAGAGATTTCTCTCAAAAGTATGACTGTGGACCTCTATTACCTGCCTGTGACCAGTCAGGAAGTCACATATAAATTTGATATTACCCACCACTTGTACTTTACAAGAGGATTAGTCCATATGCATTGAAAATTAAATGGGTAGGGCATGGCAGTGGCTCACACCTGTAATCCCAGCACTTGGGGAGGCAGAGGTGGGCGGATCACCTGAGGTGAGGAGTTCAAGACAGCCTGGCCAACATGGTGAAGCCCTGGCTCTACAAAAATACAAAAAATTAGCTGGGCATGATGTCGGGTACCTGTAATTCCACCTACTTGGGAGGCTGAGGTGGGAGAATTGCTTCACCTAGGAGGCAGAGATTATAGTGAACCAAGTTTGTGCCAGACTGGGCGACAGAGTGAGACTCCTTCTCAAAAAAAAAAAAAAAAAAAAAAAAAAAAAAATTACCTATCTAAAAAAAAAAACCAAGCTAGTTCTTCACTACAGCCAAATAGGGGAGTGATCAACAGCAATGAAATTTGATATCAAACTCTTAAAACAAGTTATTTTTAAGATTAAAAACTAAGAATCTCAAAGAACCCCTGAAAGACAAGACATGTATGTTGCTCTTTTATGATCTTTTCTTTACAAGAGCATTTTAATAAACTGTGTCACAAGTCATCTTTGTGGCAGTGGTAATGATGGTAATTCTAAATCAGGAAAAAATAAGACTGCAGAGAGAGTCTCCAAGATTCCGTCAGTATTAAATCAGTAACTACCTGCTGTGTGCTGGAGCCCTGTGCTCAGTATGAGGTTACTAAGACAAATCCTGTCCTCTAGGAACCTGGTCTCTAAGGAGAAGCTATGTGTTAAGATCCTTTCTCCTTGAGCTGTGAATGTGAAAGTAAGCATATTTAGGTAGATACATATATTTTAAATATACTGAGTGAGATGCCTGGACAAATTCTATAACCAAACACTGGATAACAGTGAAAATAAAGTACAGAATTTGCCAAAACAAAACCTATCACCTCTAGATGACACAGAAATCTCAAAGACTTTACAAGCATCATAAAGTTTGCCTCTGTAGTTAATTAAAAAAAATGAAACCAAAATGAAGCATCTACAATGTATTCATAATTCTCTTAAGAATTACCTTTCTTTGACATCAGTGTAGCATAGTTACCAGGGACATGTTTCTTTAGTTACATGAATTAAAGTATAATAAGAATCATTGTCAGATTTTTAACTTATAAATACTAGAATTCTTAATACAAAGGGGTTTTATGAAGGACACAATTTTAAGAGATCTCTAGGCACACAGAACAGAAATCACTGAACAGGCAAAGCTATAGTGGAGCCAACCCTGACTCCAGGTTCTTTTTCTTTAATGTATACATAGGAACTGTGAACATCCTATAACGTGGGTCTTTTCTCATTACCCTAGTTGACAGATAAAATGCCAACTGGTAACAGTCTGCATGTAACAGGCAGAACTGGCAGCAGCACTGAAGGTACTCTAAAAACTAATGCTTAAACTCAGGAGCAACCCAAGGCTTAATGTGTGTTGCACTAACAATAAACAAACCATATTTATTCTTTAGGAAACAGTGCTATTCCTATTTTCCTTGAAGGAATTCTGGAATATCAGCTCACTGGGTAAGAATGCCTCTGGTTAAAGTGTCTCAATTAAAAACTAAGTAGTAACAGCAATACAGAGAAGAGAATTATAATCGTTTATGCAGGTAGAATGGTCATGAAGTTATAAACAATAGATGGCTGTTGTGACACAAATTCTGTATTACTAAGAGTTAAGGCCATGCTAATAGCTGTCTGACACCCTAACCTACTCAAACAGTAGCAGAGAACAAGCAACCCAAATGGATACGTGTTAACTGTTTTTTAGTGGTATCTACTCACATACTTGACATTCTTTTACCAAGTTTTTATTTTTATTTATTTATTTTTTGAGACGGAGTTTCGCTCTTGTTACCCAGGCTGGAGTGCAACGGCGCGATCTCGGCTCACTGCAACCTCTGCCTCCTGGGTTCAGGCAATTCTCCTGCCTCAGCCTCCTGAGTAGCTGGGATTACAGGCGCACGCCACAATGCCCAGCTAATTTTTTTTTTTTTGTATTTTTAGTAGAGGCGGGGTTTCACCATGTTGACCAGGATGGTCTCGATCTGTTGACCTCATGATCCACCCGCCTCGCCTCCCAAAGTGCTGGGATTACAGGCTTGAGCCACCGTGCCCGGCTTACCAAGTTTTTAAAGCTCAAAACCAGGGTACAGCAAATATGTGAGAACGCAGTAAGGTTTAGTCTTCTTTGCTCTTGCTTTCTGCCTGCTCACATCTCAGACCGTGGGCTGGTCACTGACCCTCATCCTTCTTCTAGGCCAGGGTCCAGCACAACTGAGGGGCCACGGTCACCCCTGCCCTGTGAACTTGGAGAGGACAATCTGAACTGCAGCCACTCACACTACCGCTGAGGAGTCGAAGCTATAGACGCTCTACTTTCAAATGGAAGAACAGAAATAAGCTTCCACAAGCACTACGTCAGTCTGCACTCAAGGTACTCAGTTCATTTCAGCGTTTACTAACACCAAGCTTACTGAGCACCTTTTCCGTACTAGGCCCTGTGCTAGATGCTCAAGGTATATGTCCTCTCTCTCTTCCCCTACCTCCCTCTCCAAAGTAGCTCTTGTATTCTAACAGTCTCTCACAGGCTCACATTTTAGCTGCAGGTACAGAGACAAACAAATTAACACATTTCAGATCACGGCAATAAGTGCAATGAAGAATATAATGCTGAAAGACATAGTTCCTAAGAAATCAATGCTCATGAGTGAGAAGAAATGCTGTAAGAAAATGGGCAAATATAATGAGAACACATGGACACAGGGAGGGGAACATCACACACACTGGAGTCTGTTGGGGGGGGTGGGGGCTAGGAGAGGGGTAACATTAGGAGAAATACCTAATGAAGGTGATGGGGGATGGAGGCAGCAAACCACCACGGCATGTGTATACCTATGTAACAGTCCTGCAGGATCTGCACATGTACCCCAGAACTTAAAAAGTATAATAATTTAAAAAAAAAAAAAATGGGCAAATATTTTTAATCCCCATACTTCTGTGAACCTCAGCTGCCTCTCATATAAGGGTTAAAGCAGATAATTGCTAAATTCCTTTTTGACTCAAAAATTCTGCGGTGCCAGGCTTAGGGATATTTTCTGCTGAACTTGATCATTCCCATTAAGTTGTTCAGTAGTTTTTACTTTAAAATAACACTTAAAATTTCAGTAAGGCAAAAACGCCATAAGCAGAAAAACACAGCAAATGATGTATAGCACAGGAATTCTTATAAAGCCAAAGGAAACATTGACACTCATTAAAAGATAAGAACTGTACATGTCCAATGCAATTACCAATATACATTTCTTGCATTCCTTTGTATTAGATTGTGAGTTCTCAATAAATCTGAAACGTAATAGGTGCTCAATGTATATTTGTTGAACAAAGGAATTCAATTCCATCAATGATCAAAACATTCGACTCTCCAAGATTTCAGGAAATGATATTATCTACTTGTGATAAAGATATGGAAATCTTTATTACGTTCCTGAAGGGCAGTTAAGTGGCTGCCTTATGCCTAGTAAATCAATTTCAATCAAATTCAGAATTTTTTACTTGTGAAAATGTATTACCTTAATATATTAAAAAAACAAGGCAGTTTCTCTATTTAGGGGTCAAAACCAGAAAGATAATACCTGGGCTGGAGTGTTTGTAGTCACAGGAGATGGCGATTCACTAACTTTTGGCTCACTTGGGGATGAGGCTGACCCCTGTGACTCCTGACTTGCAGGCTGGTCCGGAGACAAAGCATCACTGCTGTCTTCGTCAAATGAGAAATCGCCCTGAGTGTGGGGATATTCCTCCTTCCCAACGCCTAAAAAAAGAAATGATTTTTGACTTATGTTGGCTTTGGAATACCGAGCTTAATGTGAAGGAGGAAAAGATTTTCCTATGGAAATTTATGAAGCGGCTTTAAAAAAAAGTCAAACCGATGTACTTTCCACAGTGCAAGAACACACCACTACCCATGATGCATTCTCGGGTAGAAAAGAAATAAAAATCAAACCTGCATTAGATTAAGACTTGGGGTCCAACCACCAGTTACAGGAAGTACTAGTGCCAGTAATCTTAATAACACCTGGGGATACAAATGGAATCCAGTAAAATCCAGAATGTGGGACATGCTAGAGGATAAAACAAGTCTGTTTTGTCAATAAATAAGTAGTAAGAAAAAAAAAAAAGATCCACCCAATACATTAAGATTTAAGAGACATATCAGTCAGAGGCAGCGTGTGGACCTTGTTTGGATCCTGAGGGGAAATCCAACTGTTAAAAGACAAGAGACAAGGGGGAAAATGGGGACATGACTGGGTGTATGTTGATAAGTTCCCACTTTAGGGAGCAACTCAGCTACACTGACATCTCACTTTTTTTTTTCTGCTAAAGCTTATACCAGAAACAAAAAGGGAAACATTAGTAACTGTGATAAGACCAGGATAAAACAGATACTACCCATTCTGTACTCATGTGCTATTCACCTTCCTGAACTAACACTGAACATGCTATTTATCTTTCCTAGAAGTAGATAAAATAATGAAAAGTTAGTAAACCACAGAATCTAAACGTAAGTTTAACTTAGAAACGGTTAGTTTTCATCATTCCTAAAGACTTCATATTTTGTACTGGTATGTGTTTAAAGCTCAGGCAATTTGTAGTCATGAATTCTGAGCAGTACAATCAACCATGATTCCACGCAGTCCTCAAGAGACGAACCCCAAAAGGTGAGATGAAATCAGAAAGTAATAATTAAACCTCAGACCTAACAAGGGAATCTGTTAACTGGCAGCAGATGCTAGTCTTACAATACATAATGAAATGATAGTACCATGAATCACTGTGTTAATTTCTAATTACCCCAAAATAATACTCACAATTGGTGCTAGCCTTTAAATTACATTTGTTTTATCTAAAACTTCCAAGTGTCTCTTTCTCCCCACAAATAGTAAATTTTTAGAGTCTTGCCTATAATTGCTTCTTTAACACTGGAGTCTACAGGAAGGATGTTTTTCTCTACCAGCTCCATAGGACCAGGTCTTTGAGCAATCTTTTCATTCAGATCATCTGCTAGTCGAGCTCTTTTCAACTTCATCTGAGTAGCCTGCAGCGATGGCTCTGCAAATGTTTCTAAAAGAGGAAACAGTTTTAACCATTATTTGAATTACTTTTTCTATTCCATAACGTTATTTCAGGCCAACTAACTGAATTTAAACTGATTTAGACATATTTTCGTGTTCTCAATGTATTTATGGAAGGAGAAAATGACTGTTTAAGAATGCTTCCAGTATGCCTTTTGTATTTTTTAGTCCTGGATAGCTTTACTTTGTCTATATAATTTGGATGCCCACAAACTCAAACTAACAAGTCCTTAAACTAAAAATGGGGTGCTGCTAATGTTTATTTATGGTAGGAGGATCAAATTCACTTTTATTAGGTATTGGGGATCCAGAGAATGAGCAAGACAGATGTGGCCCATGGCTCAAGAATTTGACAGTCCTGGATTTGGCATCTTTGGAAAGTCAATTCTTAGAAGGGAGACACACTGCCTCTTAGGGTTATAAGCTTCTCTGCAGAGGTCAGTGGGAAGAGCTATCATTCATGTTGATCCCTCTGTGTCTCGGCTGGTCATCATAATTTACAATTTGGGGCCAGGTGCAATAGCTCACGCCTGTAATCCCAGCACTTTGGGAGGCCGAGGTGGGCGGATCACGAGGTCAAGAGATCTAGAACATCCTGACCAATCTGGTGAAACCCCTTCTCTACTAAAAAAAACACGAAAATTAGCTGGCTATGGTGGCATGTGCCTTTAGTCCCAGCTACTAGGGAGGCTGAGGCAGGAGAATTGCTTGAACCTGGAAAGCAGAAATTGCGATGAGCTGAGACTGCACCACTACACTCCAGCCTAGTGACACAGCAAGGCTCCGTCTCAAAAAAAATAATTGGGTTTATTTCTAAATGTATATCTTTGTGTCAGAACATTCAACTATAATATACAATAATTAATGGTTGTATAGAGGCATCAACTCATCTACCTACAAATGCATGAAATTGGTACAACCAATCAACCAAATGTAAAACTATTATAAATACCATAATTCAAACCATCTGCTTCTTTCTGTCAATACTTGTATTTCTGGTAACTCTCGTTAATGTTTTTCCATTGTTCTAAAAAATATTTATAAATGATGAAAAATAATGATGTGTGTCCCAAAATTCTGAGTTGAAAGTTGCTTGCCTCTTAAGTTATACTACAGAAGGTCTTTTAATGAAACTCCCCATAAGTTGGCTTAAGATGAATTGATATTCTTTATTCTGTAGGTATTAATAGAATGTTCTGGCTGAAGCCCAAGGCTGACTGAAAGCACATGGCTAGGAGGTTACCCTGAAGCACATACGTGCAGCTTCTCTATCCACCAGCTGAGCTGCATGCGTGCCAAAAGTGAGCACTGAGTGTCCAGAAAATGATTCATATCTTTTATGACGACTACTGTCAATATATACTTAACTAAATGTCATGAGAAAATGATAAACTTCAAAAGTAAAATGATTATTTCTTGAAAACTTAAATGCTTTGGGAAAATTTGATAAAGGTGAGTCATTAAAAAAAAATCACTGTCAAATCTGGGCAATTAACTGTAAGAAATTTGGGGAAAAGTTTGTAAAATCTAGGATTTTACAGCTCAGATTGTTTTTTAAGTGTCTTTATTTCTGTTGTACCATACATGGAAACTGTAGGTGCCATACACTGTCTGTGCTTTATGCAGTGAAGATGATGTGAACTCCATTCACTGAAATTTTACCCAAAGAGGAGGCCCTAGCACAAGGTTGGAATATTGTAAATAAAGGTAGATTTCTACAAGTTAAAATAAAATGTATGTCCATCTCATTTTCATTATTTTCCCATACAACCAACTGTAGCCCCAATCTTCTGAGATAAAACAATTAACCATGTAAGATGATAGTTGGGAAGAATTGGACAGTAAGAATCACTCCTAGGTTGGTATTTCAATGCTTCTGGTTAAGATCTAGGTAGGACAGACTCTTTCTCCTCTCTTCCATTACCATCACCTGAGTGATAGCAATATATATGGAAAGAAAATATTCCGAAGTAAGTAAGTAGAGCCTGCCATTTTGGTATGTTTCTGTTACTGGTCTTATTACCTATATCTCCATGACTGAGGCTAAAGTCTAGCTGCTGAACTTCAGGAAGTAATTTAGACTCTTGCCTGCCAAATATCCAATCAAATCAAAATCGGGTTAATGTTAACATACAGTTAGGAGTGGTGGTGGTTTTATGATCCTTAAAAAAATAAAATGACATTCTTATTTCAGAAATCCCAACTTGAGAACAGATGTCTCAAAAACATCATTTGATTCATTGATAAAAACAGTGGATAGTATTTCTTTTGAGACTTGAATGTACTTTCCTTGATTTTAATTGTGGTTAATAAAGCTTGTTACAGTTGGAAGGCAAACTGAAAACAGATAGCATATTGTCACTACAAAAATGTCCCTTATAGGTCAAGATGTTTTCTGGCAAAGAAGCAACCACTTACTTGGCTACTTATCAGTAAACTTGCTTCTTTGAAAATTCACTTATCCCTGACCGGTAGCTGCTCTACCCTACTACTGGAGTTCTGGAAAAGCCTTTTTAGTCCAGCGGACTTCTGAGAACACAACCCAAAGTAGAGAAAGGGACATACCTCTCACCTCCTGCCCCTGGAATGAGGAGGACAGCCATAAAATAAAATTCTTTACAAAGAAGAGCCCCTACTTGGGGTTGTAGAGACCACCTTGATGCCTGGAACTTCTTTACCACATCCTTAATACTGTGAGTTTTTTTTCTATCATCGCAGCCTGTTAACTTCCCATGGAGTTCTTCTCACTATCTGTAATTCACTTGTTTTGCTTGTTTGTTTATCTGTCTCTGCTACCAGACTGCAAGCTCTGTGAAGTCAGGCACCCAGCTTTCTTGCTTACTTGTTGGGTCCCTGGGGTCTAGCACACTGGCCAATGAAGGAACACCTCTAATAATGGTAGCCATATCACCTGCTGAAGATTTCATTTCTGGACATGTCTGACCTTTAGGATATTTTTTCTTATGTTGAGCTACAATCTAATACTTTGTAATCAATCTAACTCACTCTAATCCTATCATTAGACCCAGAGAACAAACTTTCCTTCTACCTGAAGATTGTCTCTCAATTTTAGAGAAGTTTTCAGATTCTTTATCTTCTCAAGACTTAACACACCCAAGACTACCACAGAATCCTAGTCTTAATAAATTCGTTGAAGAAGCAAAACAATGGAAGAAAGTGTAACTTGGGAGTTTACAGTGGAGGTATAAGCTTTTGAGAATACTTTGCCTTTAGAGAGAATAACATCCTGGCCTGACCCATGTGTTAACCAAAAATGGAACGGAACTGTCCTTACCAGCCTTTAAGTGATGAGGCTACACAACTGAGATAATTTGGTGGAGGTGAGTGAAAGGTGCTAATGGTTAGCTCAAGGTGACTTGTTGTGGGTAAGTGGCAATGAAGAAAAAATGTAGGGGTGGGCACTGTACCAGGGAGACACAGACAACGTCCAAGCAGTTGAACATCTAGGGTTGGACTTTACTGCATTCTGTATGACTTAATAAGGGGGTACATTTCCCTCACTGATAAATCCTCTGGACCCCAATTTTTAAATTTTTTATTGAACAGTATGGTAGCGGTATCTGTGGTACCAGCTGGTGTGGAAGTGTTAGTCCACTACTTGGTTATGTGAAGAATCACACCTTCCCCGTATATCTAACATAATGTTTTAGCTTTGGGTTTTCATGTTGCTACCCAATTTGGAGGATGTAAGGTTGTAGAGTAAAAAGTTATTAAAATGGAAATAAAGAGAAATGGTGGAATTCTCACTTCTTTTCCTGAAAAAATACATCAAATTAAGAATAAATAAATCCTTTACCTTCTAAAATGTGCATCCTGACAAGTTCAGAACGATCTGGTCGACTCCGAATCTTGTGTTTCAAAAAATTTTCGGTCTTTAAAAAGAAAAAAAGAAAGTCTTACCATAAGTTATTTATTATGCATTGTGGTTTTAAATAAGGTACTCCATTTAAATAAACCATATACCCTTTTGGTCACGTGTTTGAGAGGAAGAGTAGAAATTAGTGCTTTAGGAAAACTATTATTTAATACATGCTTTAAATTGTAGGCTTCGAAAGTGTACAGGGACGTGCAGAGTATGTTGGTGTAAACTAAGCACTTTATAAACTTTGAAAACTTGTCAATATTGAAAGGTCATCTTTTGAAGATAATTAAAAAAAATTTTTTTAATAAACATAGCATTTAAATCACTTAAATATCTAAAATCAATAAAATCTATACTTCAGGTCCAGTAAAAATCCACCTAGATAACAAATTTCCTAAAAATCCTAATGTGTTTTCTTTGATAAGCTCATATTTTCTTAATTAGAAATGTATTCAACTCTTAAGAAAGCCTTAATATGGGTTTTAAAAGAGTAAGACATAATTACAGCCTTCTAGAAAAATTCTTAAGAAAATTTTGGAGTATTCTTATTTTCATGTTGCATGATAGAAATTTTCTCCAAAACAGAATGAATATTCATAATGGCACTTAAAAAATCTTAAACAATTATCACATGCAAGTATGATGGTGCCGTCTGAAAGAAAGAATAAATGTACAGGTAAAAAAGACCCAGTAGGGAAATCACCTAAGGATCTGGTGTCAGCACATCCTAGACTGTCTCTGTGCAGGGGTAACAAATGACAGAATTACCCCCTCTTATGCCTGTAAAAACTGTTATGCTCTGAGAGCAAGAAAGCAAAGAAGTATGATTTGTCCTTTCTGTACAATACAAGTTACTGGTTTTAAAAGAACAAAATTTGAATGTCATGTATTTTCTTCAAACCTCCAATATCAAACTATCCCAGAGTAAATATTCTCTAGGCCATGTATCCTGAAAATACACTATTTTTTCCTCTATTGACATATTTAGGAGTAAGACTGCTACTTGTACACAGGTATTTTAGAATAGGGGAGAGAAGGAGAGAGAAGTAGAGCATTTTAAAGTGAAATGTCTTACTCTGGCTCGTTCCAAGCTTTTTATCTGTTCATGGAATGCCGCTGGGCTCTTCAAAGCTGTGAGAAGAAAAGAAATTATTTCCACAGTATAAATAGAATTCATACTTCAGTCCAATGTTATATCATGTTGATAATCCTATTAATAAATCACATCTACAGTTCCATTAGGAGACCCACAAAATTTGAAATCATAAATGTTACAGGATAAAAAAAATTATGTATTTCATACAGCAAGTAGACATTTAAAACATGGTTGTATACAAATGACAATGAAAATATCAGCTCAGACTAGTTCTGACCACTCATAGCACAACTTCATTGCTGAGGGGACTGTCTGACTCCTTGATGAGTCTTTGCTCTTAATGGTCATATAAGCTATAGAAAAAGCCCCTATGTCCTTGGGAGTGACGTAACCTTGAACACGGACAGGGACACACTGCACTTTGTGTCCAACAGAGCTGAGGTATCATTTATTCAGAACCCATAATAGGCTCTGTGCTTAACCATGGCTATGTTGAGGTGGTCTCACGATAACCTTGCCAAGATAGGTATAAGTCCCAGTACAGGTGAAAGGCTTAAAGAGGTTAAGTGAATTCTTGAAGCCATATAACTAGATGGTGGTCAAAGTGATATTTAAATCTAGATTTTTGAATTTGAAGGGTTCATGCTCTTTCTACTATACCCCAGGGCAACTCACTGTAAAGACACAGTGACTCCTTAATATGCTAACTGCTGGTAAATCAAATACTCTGTGGCATCCTAGTGTGAGGGTAAGCAGTGCTTACCCAATCGTCACCTACAACAGTTTTCCTATCAATTACCTTTGCAAACTCTTATCTGTGTATGTCCACCATTTCCCGGTACCACCCTGCACTTACAAGCATGGGCAGTCAGATAAGTGAATGGGACAGAGGACTAGGATTCCTTGGCTGTCACCTCCAAGACTTGACCAATCTGCTTTTACAGCATTATTTTCAGCTCTGGCGAATGAAGCACCACAGAAACTCCCAGGAGCCCAGTCCAATCAGGTCTGGCTAGGGACCGGCCCCCAAAAGCAGATTAGAGCTGGCCTAGTAATGGTGTCTTAAAAATCATAATTTGATCCTCTTTGATTGATTGGTTCATAGTCAGGAATGTGGTAGTGGAGAAATCTGGCAGATTATCAAAGCACCTTTTGACTATCATAATGCTAGATTGAAAATATTTAGATTCTCAGTAGTCCAGAAAAAGTTTTACTGGGAAAAACAGCTACTAAAGAGAAAAATCATACCTTACCATAAACCAAGAAACAGCTTATCATAGCCATGATTCAGAAGACTGAAAAGCATAAGTTGATTTTGTAATTTCTTTCTAGTGTTTTAAAACGGAGTAAGTTACCTCTTGGAAAGGTCAATTTTTATACAAAATCCGGATACACAGTCCTAACAGCCAACACCAAACAACCACTCCTTCCCACTAAAATATAAAACCGCTTCCAAACTTGGTGATTAAAGGTAAAGAAAACAACTAGGACAAATATTCTAAAATTAATCAACTCTAAAAAATTTCTTAAAGGAACAAACCCTAGGGCTACTAGGGAAATAATCTGTACTTGAGCCAAAAATATTATAAATGGAATGTTTATCAGTCCTGATACATTTAATTACTGTATATAGACCATAGTGTAGCACCAAAAATAATTACTTGGAATTAAATAAGTCTAAGAGAAGATTGTAAATTAATTTAACGTTTTTTGGCAAGTCTAATGAATTACAAATCCATTAGTATAGTCGTTAGTCGTTTGAAAACTAAAACATTAAAGTTTAAAGAAAGAATGAATGTTAGCCTAATTACAGCATAAGGATGTTCTCTGTGTAATATAAAATTCAAGTCCATCTTTTAAACTGTATCTGGTTTTTAAAATGTATTCTAAACGATTCACTTAGGTGCCTGATTTTTCCTTAGAAATCCACTTGGTAATTGTTTGTTGATTAAATGGATACAACTGAAAGCAGAGCAAAATGCAGGCTCTTCTTGGACATGCCTGTCATGTTCTGTCATGTTAGGGATGGCTGTAAGGCTGTAAATCTTACGTGGCATGATGCCCTGGTCCACGAGTTGTTCTCTCGTCCTCCTTTGTTGCAGCCTCAGCTGGAGCACTGTGAAAAGGAAATAATCACCATTGGAGTTAATTGGCAACTGTGGGATACAATTATTGTGATTTCAGAGGAGATACAATTAAGTTTTATCAAGCATCTTCTATTTCACAATTAAACAAGAAGGATAGTACCTGGCACCATGTAACCTGTTAAAGGAAAATTATTTTGTAATTTCTACCTGTTTAGTGAACACTAAAGTTTACACAGAATAAATTTTTTGTTTAGTTAATCCTAATTTGATCACCAAAGCTATGTATTTCTTATTTAAAACATTCATAATACTCAAGATAATAAAAATAGTTGGCTTATATATTAAGATATGCTAATATCTCTAATTCATAGAAATAGAAATGTGAGATTCTTTGACCCACCTTAATTTTTTTTAGAGCAAATTAATAGCAAAAATGTATTCTAAGGAAAGACTGACTATAAATAGCTTTAATGAGGGCTGTTTGCGTAATGAAAATTAGACCTACTATGACATACTCCTAATGACCCAAAGGGAAATTTCTAAATTAGGGACTGAAAGTTTAGTAATCTTTGCACAAACATAATACCATATCTCATTTTATATGTTCTAAGAAATTCACAAATCAGTTGACACCTTATTACTTTAATAAAAGAGTAAATTATTAGAACTGGCAGAGAACAAGACATACATCATGAAATGCAGGCATCCAGTTTGCCAAATTTAATCAAAAATTAATTTTTTTCCTAGATTTCTCAAGCAGATTCCTTTTATAAGCATCTACATGGTTTTATCTGGAAAATGAGACTATTTCAAAATAAAGGGAATACAGGAGGTGACTCTGAAAAATATTTTTCTTGCTTTGTTTTACATTCAAACCAAGTTTCCATTGTGATTTTAACTTGCCATTTTGATTTTTGTTTCAAACCATGGATGAAAACCAAGATTAGAATGAAGAGGCTGCTTAAGGGTTGTCAATATGCTAAAAAAAAAATTTACCTACGTGTGTTTCTTAAATGGTGGGAAGAGAAGACAGAATTTTTTTTTTTTAAATTATACTTTAAGTCCTGGGGTACATGTGCAGAACATGCAGCTTTGTTACATAGGTATACACATGCCACAGTGGTTTGCTACATCCATCACCTTGTCATCTATATTAGGTATTTTTCCTAATGCTATCCCTCCCCTAGCTCCCCTCCTACCCCCAACAGGCCCCAGTATGTGATGTTCCCCTCCCTGTGTCCATGTGTTCTCAATGGTCAACACCCACTTATGAGTGAGAACATCTGGTGTTTGGTTTTCTGTTCTTGTGTCAGTTTGCTGAGAATGATGGTTTCCAGCTTTATCCATGTCCCTGCCAAGGTCATGAACTCATCCTTTTTTATGGCTGTATAGTATTCCATGGTGTATATGTGCCACATTTTCTTTAGCCAGTCTATCATTGATGGGCATTTGGGTTGGTTCCAAGTCTTTGCTATGGTGAACGTTGCTGCAATAAACATATGTGTACATGTGTCTTTATAACAGAATGATTTAATCCTTTGGGTATATACCCAGTACTGGGATTGCTGGGTCAAATGGTATTTCTATTTCTAGATCCTTGAGGAATCGCCACACTGAGAAGACAGAATTTTCTGATGAGTGGTGATGGCTGGAATGAGAGGTTCAAATGCAATGCACATGGTGTCTCCTCCTTGCAATAATAAAACCTCAAGGCCTGCACACACAGACACATGGACCCCATCCCTTGTTTTTCAGTTGGTCTTGTGCTGACTGCAAAGCAGAGGAGTCTTAGGTAAACTTCAGAAAGAATCTAAGCTGTAACATGGCTTTTAAAAATATTTTATCATTGTTAGATACGAATGTCATCATCTATTAGATACAGAAATAGCTTTCAGTTTTTGTTTGGTTTGAGGCCATAGGATAACAAAGCTTCACTGATACCCCACACTTAAAACTGAAACAACTGTCAAAATTCTGCAACATAAAGCAAAAGAAATAACGTTTCCTAAAAAAAGATATGCACATTCCTGACATTAAGATGTTCTGTGATACTTTAAATCAATTGTGCTCTAACTCAAAGATCTTTTCCCTAAGTTGATTGAGGATAGTATGTTCCCAATGTACTAGGAACAAAATAACCAAGGAGCTGACCTGTGCGTCTTACAACATTCAGAGACCTGCATACTCTAACATTCTTTTAGGAATGCTAGTCTGTATTTAAGATAGTCATATTCCAGAAACAGAATCTCAAGAAAAAGACAACTGAAAGCACAAAATGGTTGGAACAGTTCTCCAGTTCAAAGGCTGATACTTCTGGAACATGATGGTCTATGTCTGTTGGAGAATCTCTAGCAAGAATATCTTTCCTTTCCTCCAAGGGGAACCCTCAAAAGAGTAGAAAAGAGAGAGTAATGAAAACAACACTAGCCCTCTGTTTGGATTAAAACAAACAAAAAAACAAAACAAAATCGCCACACATTTGTGACACAGCTCTATCAGACAAAATACATTTTTTTGGGTGAATGGCAACTTTGAATGATGCATACATTTGCAACAACTTGATCTGCAAACCAACACTGATGACAACAGCTGGTTAGTCTTGGAAGCAACCCCTGATTGTACACTGGTCATCTCAGGTGCCTTCCTTTACCAGAAGAGCAGTCTTGTCAGCTGTATCATCCATGACCAGAAATCACACTTTCAAGCTAACATGGAAAGAGAGGTACCTGCTACTATGAGGGTAACACACAACATGGATGTATGTCACTCTGATCTGTTTCTATTTCCAACACTTCTGACACCAGATGTGTGAGCTTTTCCCTCATACCAACCAATTCTCCAACTCTGGATGCCAACTGGCTGTCCAATGATTCAATTCTGACACTATGTAGTTGGAGTTAGTGTTGGATCCTACAAGTTAAAATGCTCCATCCCAAGAGACTGCCCTCACTTCAGATGCCAATTGTTTGCCCAAGCCCCCAGACTTTTGACCAATGGGTTATAAAGTTAGGGGGTTCTCATAATCCCCTTCCCAGGTTTGATAATTTTCTAGAATAGCTCACAGAACTCAAGAAGGCACTTTACCTACTATTAGTAGTTTATTATAAAAGATACAACTCAGGGACAGCCAAATGGAAAACACAAATAGGGCATGGCATGGGAGAAGCAGTACAGAGCTTCCATGACCTATCTAGGTACATCACCTTTCCTCTGGTCATGCCTTGGTCTTTCTGGCTAGCAGGCCCTATCCAAAAGCTCCCTAAATGCCTTCAATTACCTGTCACCTCAGTAGAATATAAAAACCACTCTCACCACTCTAGAGAGTCCAAATATCTTAGAAAGAAGCTCTTAAGAACTGGGAAATAAGACCAAATGTATAACAAACAATGTTCCTATCACTCAGGACAATCAGGAAAACTTTAGAAGCTTCTGTGCCAGGAACCAGAGACAAAGGCCATATATTCACAATATCATAAACACCAATCACCAATTATTAAAACAAAAAGCCCCCACAAACAATTTGTGTTTTCTATCTCCTTTTCTATGTGGTCAAACAAGCAAACAACCCTACTTGTACTGCTTGAAGGTAGAATAATTTCCCCAATTAAAGCTCTCATTATTGCCTATACAATTTTCCCAAGAAGCAAGAACCTCCCACTACAAGTAGTATTCAAAGCAGCTGTGGTCATCAGCCTCCCCCAGGCATATTCATTTATTTAGAGCATATCTGTTAGGTGTCTGGATACAGCATGGGGTACAAATCCATGGGAAAGAGCAGCAGCAGTAGCTGTGAATGGATCTTTTTAAAGCAAAGACATTAGGAAGAACATGAATGGAAGGGGAGGCAAGTAACTAGCCATTTTGTTAAGTCTGTTGATTACCAGTTTTGGTTTTTTTTTTGGCTTTTATCTGCACCCATAGATGGACAGTACTGGACATATTATATTGAAAATAAAGCACTATGCCCTATCAAGAGATCAGGTACATTGCTACTTTGGGTTAGCATTAAAACACAATTACAGTTTGGGAGGCCGGAACAAGACGGGCAGATCACTTGAGGACCGAAGTTCGAGACCAGCCTGGCCAACATGGTGAAACCCGTCTCTAGTAAAAATACAAAAACTAGCCAGGCAAGGTGGCAGGCGCTGTAATCCCAGATATTCGGAAGGCTAAGGCAGAAGAATCATTTGAAACCAGTGAGCCGAGATCGTGCCACTGCACTCCAGCCTGGGCAATAGACTGAAATTCTGTCTCAAAACAAAACATACAATTATATAATACATTATATACTTTATACATACATATATATGTTTTAATTTTTTTTTTTTTTTTGAGATGTAGTCTCGCTCTGTCACCCAGGCTGCAGTGCAGTGGTGTGATCTCAGCTCACTGCAACCTCTGCCTCCTAAGGTTAAGTGATTCTCCTGCCTTAGGCTCCTGAGTAGCTAAGCTGATAGGCATTCACTACCACACCAGGCTAATTTTTGTATTTTTTAGTAGAGATGGGGTTTCACCATATTGGTCAGGCTGAACTCCTGACCTCAAGTGATCCACCCTCCTTAACCTCCCAAAGTGCTGGGATTACAGGCGTTAGCCACCAAGCCCAGCCACATGTATTACATATTTTATGATAAATTATATATTATTTGTTGATGTCAACTAAAATCAGTCATTCACAACTTGACAAAGGCTATTCTGAGAGCAACTACTACTTATAAAAAGTACTAATCATATAGGTACAGACTCATAATTTTAGAAAATATCAAACTTCCTTTCAGAACTTCTGTTCATCAAATTAGTAACAAAATTGCTGTATAAGTCACAGTAGATACCTGCACCTTAGACGGAGACCATCTAAGGCCAGGAAGAACATGGTTTGAATGATACAGACGCTTAACTGTCATGCAACACAGGAGTAGGGCAGAATGTGCCGGTGCTTACCCAGGACTGAGGAAGGAGTAAGGGACTCTGAAAACAGAGGACTACACTTTTAATGATCAGAGCGGCATTCATGGTTGTGGGATCAGAA